CATCTCAACCTGTCTGTAACACTGTATATATTTGATTAGTCTTCAGACATAATTAATCCTGGACCTGCTGGTAATGAATGGAATAGAATAGAATAGAATAAGCCCATAAGAACCAAATTGCTTTACCAAAGAATGTTTTTTTTGAGAAGTCTCCCTTTTTTTTAAACCAGTGAGATATTTATATCATAAAACCACCTCCAAGAGTACAAAATTTATCATACTTCAACACTCTCCACAGCTGTTTTAGAGTTCCCTCAAGGTTATCTCCCTAACTCTTTATACCTAATTTGACATAGAGTTTTTGTTTCCTGATGCTATATTTCCACAGGCTCAGTTACATCAGAACAACTAGAGTTTTTCTGGATTTATTTTCAAAGAAAATACTTATTGAGAAAAAATTATGCAATGATTATAGGAGAAATAGAAAAATGGCATATGCAACTATATGGGTTCTGCTGTTGCATTTACAAGGAGCAGTTATCCATACTAAATCATGGCTTTAAGATGCATACTGTCTGGTACATACTAGACACAGTGATTACTCCAGCCCCCGCCCGAACATAGTGATACCTACTGAACTGTGCAACATTTTGGTCATCTTCCAACATTTTATGAATTGTATCTTCTGGAATTTCCTATTCAGATTTGTAAATATTTCTTCTATTTCTTCAGCAAGTAATGGATTCCTCTAAATAATTCCTCTCTGTCAGAATACCAGGATAGTACAAAGGCACTTAAGCTTTGTAAATTATTACTGACAATTTATACTCCTTCACCCAGATAGCAATTGCTTTGGTCCAAACTATTTTTGAGAGTTGGCTACTAAGCATATCTTCTAAAATTTCAAGAATTTATTCACTTCTGACTGAATTCACCATTATGCAGTCATCAGATTTCCTTTGTAGTAAGGATGATATTGTAGAATTGCTTTTCTTATAAATCTCTGGCCCAGAAGAGATTTTGCACAGAAACTCTTACAAAATTCAACTATACAGTATGAGATCCAGAGTTGCTGGCTATTGAGAATGCTTTTTTTTAATGTGAAATGATTTGAATAAACTTCATCAAGTATACAAAATAATATAATCTTGAATATCTTCACACTTTTAAAAAGCTCAGCTAATGCCAGGCTTGTTGGTCTCTTTTCATGGTTTAATTTCCTCACCTCTTGTGTACTATAGGTCCAGGATCAGAAACCATATATTTTGTCATACAAACTCAAGTTCAGTAGTTCAGCCTATAAAAAGGTCCTGGAAACCATCATTTTGCACTTGGAGAATTTCTATTATTTTCTGGAACCTTCACTTGTGTTTGAGAAAATGTACATTTATCAGTAACAAGAATCATTAACAAGTCATAGTATGAGAATGTGTTAAGCCAGGTCAGTTTCCAGTTCACGTTGTACTCTATACAAAATTGCTTATTGATAAAATCCAAATAAATATAACCCATGGAATTATAAAATCAAATTAAATTACATCATGATCATCTATTATTGGACATTTTGGATTCTACAAGACTTTATACCTCCAGTGACCTTTGGTGGCATCAAATTAGAGCAGAAATTATCAATGCATTACAATCTCTCTTAAACGTAGGTGAGTGAACTGCTTATCTGGTTAGCGTACATGATTTCTTATGTTTCTGTCCTCAAGTACAGAGAGTCAATTGTTTTGGACTTTATTTTCAAGTATAAGTCAAAATATAATTTTGTTCATAGTTTAATGTGGTCAGTTTCTGATCCTAGCCCACAGCTCATGAAGTAAGGGTGTAAAATGTGAATTGCAAAAAATCTGAATGACAGTTTGATGGCAACAAAGAGAGGAGGGGTTTTTTTGTATTTCCTTTCTGGCAGCTAGTAGTTATTTGAATTTTGCAGTTATGAAATTGCAAAATTATTACTTTGTATCTTTGTGCCTATACGGTCTCCCAGAATACATAACCATAAACAGAGGCTCTTAATTTCTTGGAAGTTTCAGGCACAACATAGTCAAGATAATGTTTAGAGTACTGAAGCTGTCTACTTTGTATAACTGTAGCTAGATAGGCAGAATGTCAATGCCACTTTGGAGCAATATATGTGTTTACATTAGTTATCAGTAAACCTGTTGCCATATATGAGGGCAATCTGGAAATAAACCTCCATTTGAGCATGTGCAAGAAATAGGTGGGGATAGCGATGCCCGTTCAGTAGGCAGTGAAGAGTGGAAGGAGAAGATTGTGTTGCAGTTGACTCGTCCACTAGATCATTTGAAAATGAACCCTGCCATAGAAAATCCTGCCAAATGTGAAGAGCATGCAGTAATATGATTCCTGTATGTGAAAAAACTTTCGGCAGCTGCGATTCATCGCAAACTGTGTAATGTTTGCAGACCAAACGTGATGAGTGAAGGTGTATGTCAATGGTGTCGCATGTTTAAAGATGGACAAACTGACGTGCACGATGAGGCAAGAAGTGGCCGTCCATCTGTAGTCAGCAATGAGCTCATGCAGGAAATTGACAAAAAGGTCCGTGAAGTCCATCCGTTCACGATATCTGCACTTTCTTTACACTTTCCCCAAATTTCTTGGACTGTTTTGTACAAGGTAATGACAGAAAATTTGGGATACTGAAAGTTCTGTGCTCATTGGGTACCAAAATCCTTTCTGAGGAGCACAAAACACACCAAATGGGTTCTGCTTTGGACTTTCTCACGTGTTATTAACAGAATTGTGACCAGTGATGAGACCTGGGTGTCATACATGAACCCTGAAAACAAACAGCAATCAATGTTGTGGTGTCATACGCACTCATCAAAAAAACTCAAAAAAGCTCGGCAAACATTGTCTGCCAGAAAGGTTATAGCAACAGTATTCTGTGATGCCAAAGGAGTACTGCTAGTGAAGTTCATGGAGGGTGGTTTGACCATCAATTCAGAAATATATTATGAAACGTTACAAAAACTCAGACGATCCATCCATAACAAGCATCGGGGCATGCTAATTTACAGTGTGGTGTTGGTTCACGATAATGCTTGCCCGCACACTGCTAGATGCACCCAAAAACATTTGAAGCAATTCCATTGGGATGTCTTTGATCATCCCCTCCCATAGCCCAGATTTGGCACTGAGCAACTACCACCTCTTCAGGCACATGAAACATTGGCTTGTGTCACACCGCTTCGATGACAATGTGCTTCATGATGCTGTTACAGGTTGGCTTCATCCCAGGCGGGAGATTTCTTTGCAGAAGGAATTTCAAACCTTGTAAGACATTATGACAAGTGCCTCAATTTGAATGGGCTATTATGTCAAAAAGTAATGTAATGTTGTAGTTTTCTAATGTGTATAATAAAAGTTCTGTATCTGCGAGTGTCTGTCATTAATAACCAAACAGGTTTATTTCCGAATTGCCCTTGTAACAGTAAGCTTCCACACAGCAACACTCCAGAATTTCACTTGTGTTTTTCCCCAATAGAATTATTCCTTCCTCAGTTATTACAGTGGATTAGATACACTGGATAGAATAAGAATGGCCTAAACAAGACTGCAATGTCTCTACAGACCAGAAGAAACAAAATGGAACTTTTTTCATAGCTGGTAACAAGTCTGACTTTCCATGAATCATCTACTGTTTTATGCTCAGACTAAGCCCACACTTCATAGCAGGCTTCAAGATAACTACTCAAATTAATCTTACAGCATACCAGCTACATTCATATAACTACACATCTGTTCTTGATATTCCTTCCCAGCCTGGTCATGTCAGCCTCTTTCATCCTCTAACAATGCTGATTAAAGGACAAGAAGATTATGAAGTAGTACAGATTTTTAATTTTCATTTCTATTATTGATGTGTGCAGTATCTGGGAAGTGATTAGAAGGTTTCTCTTTTGGAGTGCTTTAGATATGCATTCTCTCAGCTTGACAAACCATTTTCCTCTAAACTAAAATAAATCAGTTTTTATACAACTGGAGAAGGTATATATTGGGAAGGCAAATGATGGACCCCCAGCAGGCCTCCTCTGAAGAGAAGCAGAACCAGGTGAAGATTAAGATTCTAGTAAGTATAATCTGAGGAAGTTAATTCTATCTCTTAGGCCTTGGTGGAGTCACTTTCAACAACCTCTGACTCTGCTTATGTTAGACTCAGACTCTGAAGGAAGGACAGAAGCACAAAATCTGTAAGAATGCTTCCATCTCTTATTTGAGTAGCAGAGAATTGAAAAATAGAAATACCATATTGTGGGGAAAAATGTCTTGGAATTAATATCTTATTCTGACGTAGGCTGTTTTTTAAAGTAATTCAGTGACTAAAATTCATTGTTTGGCTGGAGACTAGGAGCTTTTGGTCCTAGTTCCTTTTAAACATTGAAACAATATTGGACAGCTGTATTTTGACTCCTTTGTTTTTTTGAAGATGACCCTTTCTTGGACAATGCAAGTAATTCTGTATCTGCTGAACTTGTGATGTCTCTTGTTCCCTAGCTTTCTGAACCTTGTATACATAACAAAACTTCCTGAACATTGACCATTCTACTGCCTACTGTTTGTTTGCTTCCTATAGTTGTTTGATGCTACTTTTTTTGCTCTGGATTTCCTGGTTATGTCTCTTGAATCAAAGGCATGGGAATATCTCTCCCTCTCTATCATCTCTTCCTCTCTCTCCCATCTCTGTCTCTCTTTCTTTCTCTCTCTCATCTATCTATCTATCTATCATCTATCATAAATGGTACTTATTAAAATTAGTAATGGCCCCCAGTTTATGCTAACTTCTAAATATTTAAATAAAAGCATTATCTTTCTTCTGTTTATTAATAATACACACTGTAAGCTATCCAAAAAGATATATCTGGATATAAATGTTTAATACAGTGGGTATGTGGGAATCAGTTATCCAGAATTCAAGTATTTGTGCTTTGATTCAAGCCAACATTTCAATTTTAATTGTATTTGTTAACAAAAAGTACATTTGAGGTACAGAACTAAGGGCTTCAATAATTTGTTTCTTTTAATTTTAGGACTTATTGTACATGAAGGAGCATCAGTTTGCAGAGTATTTAAGCGTTGGAGGGCTGTCAATTTGCTTTGGGATGTACAAAATTATGACAAAGCAACAGACATAGAAGAGAGCACTCGAGGAGAATCTTCCACAGCTAGGACTTTGTGGCTACCACTGAATGCATTGAGAAACAGAAATTTAGTTCATTCAACACAGTTAACCTCACCAAGATTTCAATGTGGCTATGTTTTATTACAACTCTTCAGTCGAATGAGACCTCCGGAGGATTCATCAGATGACAACAGTTCTGGGGAGGTTGTTATGAGAGTGACTTCAGTGTAAAAGTTATGATCATTATGCTTCACACACAAGGACATTGTGCCCAGAACTTGTGAAATATTCTGGAATGTAATGCAATGAATGGTGAAACCATAGCACATAGAAATATATAAACTTTTTTAGTTTATGCTTTTATATGATCAGTTGAATTGCAAATACATTTTCCCAAGAAAGTATTTCTTTCTTTTTATACCATGATTTATTACTTTTTATCTATTTGTACTTGGCATTTATAAAAATATAATTTAACAGTAGCTTTAATAATGTGAAGACAAATATTTTAAACTACAACTATTTTTGATAGATTTAAATGTATTTTCAAAGTTCTAAGTCATCTATAATTTTTCCAGTCATAATAAATTAAATTAATGACATGGCTTGAAGTAACAATAGAAACTCATCTACATAATTTCAGTTTGGAAATAAGCGTATGTTTCATTTTGGTCTTTGGACAAATACAGTTATTTTAGGATTGGATAGTGGTGTTGTGCTGTAAACTGAGGTGAAAAAATATTGCATTATTGAAAATAAATTATCTGTGAACTATGATTCACAGATATACACATGTCACCTGGATTCCAAGATATTGTTATCCATATTTAATGATATAGGTTCTATGAAACAATTTTAGATTTCTTTTATGAGAAAAAAGGGAAATAAACATAAACAAATAAACAAAAGTAAGCAAATAAACAGGCACAAAAAAAGTTCCACAATTGTTTTCAGGATTTCTGACTGTAAGCATTTAGCAAGATGGTTTGTTTCTTACTTTCATGACAATTCTATTTGATTTTATTTTCAAATTAGCTAAATTAAATTCAGTTATACTGAAAGAAATGTACTTTAGTGTATTCCCATTTTTTTAATCCTTTGTATCCTTTCTTCTGCGTTTAACATTTCAATTCATTTTCAGTTGTTTAAAGACAAAAAAGAAAAAGTAACTGCTTGATATCCAGATATCTTTGCAAGAAAAAGATAATATTCATTTGTATTCATCCAAAGTTTCATGATACTTGAGTAACCTTATCTAAGAGATTGATAAAATTCTTATAAGTATTAAAACAGCACAAAGATGTGGACAGATAATTTGTATTAAATAGATTTACCTGATCATCTTCATCATAGCATACTATGACAATGAAGGAAAAACAATTTAGCCTTCTTAATCCTACAAAAATTGGATGCAGCAGGATCAGATTATATAATACCCTATTTTGAGATTATACTAGAGAGATAGCCTTTTTACAACTTTTTCACACACACAACCAAAAACATCTAAGCACACTGGCCAGGATTTCAGCAAAATCGCTTTGTGATAAGAAAGAACTAATCTTGATTTAGATTAGAATTTTATATTTATGTCATATTGTTTTATTATACTTTTTGATGCTTAAAACAATACGGAGTTGGAACTATTTAGAAATTTAAAAAAAAAAAGTTTTAAAAACCCAAGTTTTTAAAATCAGTCTAATTTTTGGTGTCATTTCTTACCAATTGCAAAGTTGACTGAAAATATATCTGAATTATATCCTGGAAAGCCACCATAGTAATTGTGCTAATTTGTAGTTGTCCACTTTGGTCTCTCGCAGACTGGGCTGACATTAATAGTTCATTCTTCATTCTTTTTAAAAGTTATGAACTTAACTATGAAGAATGCTCATTCATTTAACATTCAAGGACTTCCAAAATAACTAGAACTTTAGCCTTAAGATATTTAAACTGTTAATTCTACACATTTTTTAACATTAGTATTAGTCCTGTGNGTCCTGTGGAATATGATGAAATATCTACGTAAAAATGCATGGGCTTGAGCTGAAAGAGATATTTGCAATCTTTTATGAGTGTTATATTTCTTTGCAGTCCTACTTGGCTGCAAACTTCACTGATTAACACACTATATATCCTGGCAAGTAGGTGCAATATTTATAATGCAGCCCTAAGTCTTACACTTAGTAAACCTTCTGTTGAAAATCCTACTTTCAATGTGATGTATCTACTTATTTAGATTTATAATATACTTTCTAGTTAAACTCAACTCAAACTTAATTTTTTGGTTACAAAAACTGTCAAGATGGGGTACAATATATATTTATGATTTAAACAACAAATGCAACAAACAAGGGCATTACAGTAAGTGTTCTGTAATAGCAATATATATAAATATGTGTTCTCACTTAAATGTAAAAGACTTTTTTGTAAGCTTGTTTGTCCTGCAGAATCATTAGGAAATAAACTAACAGCAAATTGTCTAGGAATCTGGGCCATTGCATTCTCAAAATACTGTATCTGAAAAGTACTAAGTTGTGTATACCAGACTGTTTTAAAGGGAGCAACTACTCTTCCCTTATTATGTCTACTGCATGATTTGCAAGAATTCTTGTCCTGAGTTCATTTTTGGAAAGGGATTTTCAAGAGAAGAGGCCCTCCCTTCGCTGCACTATACATAATTAAAAAAATAAAGATAGGAAAGCCCCAATCATGAATATTTTATTGCTCCAAATGTGTCTCTAGAAAGTGGGCAATAAAACAAAAGTTATTTTTTACTTCTGAAACATTTGTATATAGCATAAATATACTTGTCTTTAAAAATCTCACTACCTTTATTGCCCAATCTTAATTCCTATTCTTTTAGAACAGGGGTGTCAAACTGCCGGCCCACAGGCCGGTTTCATCATACCGGAGCCGCGCCCACCCCATTGCTGGCAATGGTGAAAAAGCTCCGATACGTCGTGTGACGTCACGAGTTTGACATGCCTGTTTTAGAACATTTACTATATTTCCTCAACATTTCTATTTCTTTTTTTCCCTTCAAGTGACACTTCAGCACTTGAAAATATACCTTGAGACACAAGGTCCAAATCAAGTTTTTTTAAAAAAAAATAATTTATAAATTTAAATACTTCCAATGTTCTGTATAGATGGAGAAATCCACAAACTAGGTAGAAAATATCAATTTTTGCATACTTCCTTTTGTTCTAAACTGATCTTCCTCTATTAGAGGGATATGATATTTAGATGAGTCTATTTCTACTCTGACAGTTTCATAGGATGGGTTCATGTGGGTTACAAGTCCTATTTTTTTTAATCAACCACCAGTTTAAATAAAGAAAAAATTAAAAAAATGCATTTTTAAATAAAACATATTTGTGTGCAATCTGCTTTGAGATAACATTTAACAATGAAAAGGGGAATACAAATTATATAAATAAAATATAAATTTTAGGAGATGTCTTAAGTATATTGTGTATTGGACTAAGATATGTACTTTCAAACTAAAATTCCCATATCTCTGCTTTTTAATATTTTTTGTCAGTTGAGAATAATATAAAGTTGAGGAAGAAAAGAAAACAAACAGTCCAGGGAATGCAAGTTAAAGGACCATACGCTTCAAAAATGCAGACTGAATTTAAATAATATTTTCATGTAAAACAATAGAACAAGGATAGAGTTATAAATCAGTGTTTATTTTTGTTAGTTTTTCTTAATTCAAGTCTTCCCAGGCATTTTGACCTAGCTTCTTTTCTTGAAGTCTTCAAATAATATTGTAAAAATGTGGCTCCAATTTTCTGTTGCTGCACTGATAAAGTCTTTACAGGTCAGTAAATAGAGATATCTAAGTTTGAAGTAAACACTATACATATACAAGATATATGACAGCACAAGTTATCCTTGAAATTAGCGGGTCATGTTCTTGAATAAATTTCGATGCAACCACAATGCTTAGAAAGATCTGTGCATAGATGTCATCATCATTAACTTATTCACTCATTCCTAGAAAACTGGAATCATCCCTCTCTAGTCTAATAAATGTGTGATGGAAGTAATGTATACTGCATTTTATATTATCTTTTTTGGAAATCTTGTGTGTTAACCGAAAAGAGACCGACTAGCCAAAATCTTGAAGTAGAAAAATGTATAAAGCTTGGAAGCTTCAAAGATAGAAAGATGAGCTTCTCCAAGTCATCTATTCAAATCCAAAGCCCCAGCTGCTGCAGCTGCACCAAACCTTGGAGAAAGTTCTTTTCCCCCAAGACCTTATTTGTTTAATTAGCATAGGAAAAATGTTGTTTGATTTTATTTGGCCGTCTAATTTTATCAGTTCAAAAAAGTGTTGCTTTGGTAAGTCTTTTGTACAAAGCATGAAACAATTATAGTGTAACTAATTCCAAAAGGTAATTCATAGTTCAACTTTCTCCATTTCTTTGCCATTTTATGCTTTTAAATCTAAAACTGGTTTTTTTTTGGGGGGGGGGGGGATAAAGAACTATTGTCTTTCCCAAAGGTTTCTGAAAAGTCTTGCATTAAGAATTGTTCATTGTAAGGCCACAAATACAACTGTCTCAAAAGACTGGGTCAATTTAGAAAAATAAGACAGGACATTTGTACTTTTAACATCTCTGTAGAAGAGAGCATTTGGTATGTCTCTCTGGCATTCAAAGTTACATATGCTGAAAATTCCTTTGTTTACAGAATTATTAAATTGTTATTTTCTGTGTCTTATCACTCTGCTAAATATTTCTGTAGAACTTGTGGGCAAATAGGGCACAACCTATGCTATGTCAATTTAATGCTTGATAAATTTAATGGTGCATAATTTCATGGGCTGTGATTTTATATTGGTTTATTCTTTAATTAGTATTGCTAAAATTTGGCAAATCATACCCAGAACTTCAATATTCTTGTTCACAGCTCATAGAAGGAGAAATGCTAATTTTTTCTTGTATCTTTAATCCATCTTTCATATCTAGTATATTAAATTACTTTGCCTTAAGGAAGGTGAAAGTTGGTGTGCTCTTCAGTGGATTTTATCCAGAGTATCAGTGCCCTTTTAAATAACTCACTGTGCATTAGTGCTTAGAAGTGGGTGGATGGAAAGAAACAAGATGGATTATTTCATATTAAGCTAAACTAAATTTACTCTGTGGTCCACTGCATAAATAATTACCTTAAACATGTGAATGAACCCTTTCACACATTGGAATAGCTACAGCTGCAGTCAATAA